TGGTAAGATGAGAGGCAATATACACCTATTGTGAACGGCAGAATTTCCTTTTCAAAATAGTCAGCATGGTTGCAAGCGGATTTGGAAGACAAGAAGGGGAGGGGAGATGTACCCAGCTTCGGGTGTTCCGCGAGGCATTGAGGAAAATGAGGACGAAAGCAGTCCAGAATCCACCAAACATCGCAATGAGTCCAACAATCAACCGTGCAATGATAGTAGGTGGGATCAGATTACCGAGAGCACGAGCTCTCAAGAATCCCGGGAATGCGTCTCGCTCCATAGCCTGAAAGACGTAATCCTTAGCAACGTCAAATACTTCAGGGTCGTCGCGTCCGTCTTGTTCAATTGCTGTGGTGATGTCTGTGGTGATAGAGCCGGGAAGCGTGATCTCGCGTTCAGCACCAGGAAGGAGGAAGGTGTACAAGATCTTCTCGGCCGATGCTCTGATATCCTCTCGTGCGACAGCGTGCGCTGGAGAGTTGGAATCCGAGGTGATGCCTTGGGAACTCGGTTGCGTACTGGCTCTCGTCCGCCGCTCTTGACTGCCTTGTGGTGAATCGTGCAATGCGCTAGGTGCAGGTTGGTCTCGCAGATATGCTGACATCTGCGCATTTTGCTCTCGTTCCTTCTCAGTTCCCATAGAGGGTCCTGCACCCATATCGCCAATTGCTTCTAAGACCCTCGAGGATCTGCTCGATTCCTCCTTCTCGAGATCTGGGGTTCTAACTAACACAGATCTTCGTAGTTCTCGGACGTAGTGGCGGCAGAGTGACATATGTTGCGCGACATCGAGCCTGGGACCATGAGTCTTAAGCTAAATTTATTGGATATTTACTTGCAGACCTACCAGAAGTCTAAGTAATCGACTGATCGCTGCTGGTCACGCATATATATGTAGAAGGAAAACAGGTCAACAGGAGGATGAGTCCGGCGGCTCAGGACCTCGAAAAGTGTAGGCAACCGATTTCGCTGTAGGTCAGGCATCGGCGAAGGAGGGTGGTTGTCGTCATCAAGGGGACCGGGGCCTTGTAACTCCATTTTGCTGAATTGAGACGAGGAGCGATGCGATATTAAGAAAGTGGTGGAAGTTATTAACTGTGCAATAGCACCGATGACTGGATCGTCTTCGTGGCTGTTCTTGCGATAGAAAGGATTGTTGCGTCAAATGTCAAATGAGGGAATCGAGATCGAGAGGTTGGTGTCGGAGAGACCATCAGTGCAGGCGTGACATGCACGGCGTTGCTTGCACCTTGTTTCCAGAACAATTGACTTCTTAATTGCGAGATCGGATCGAGAAGCCGCGGACAACGGCGCGTGAAGGAAACGAGGGAAACAGCACACCACACAGAGTGGGCTGGGTTGGGAATCGCGATGGTTTGTCAAGGCACGAAGTCACGAAGTCTGCGAGGTCCAGTGAAGAGTGGACCGACCGTTTCGACCTTGTTGTCTGCGGCCCCCCCTGAAATTACTTCCAGTTGGCAGCACGCCATAGCGTCCAATCACAGGGCCCAGCTTGTTACACTGAACACGCAAGCCACGGCAACAGTGGGACATCATTTGGAGATCAAGTAACACAGAACAAATCAGTTGACTGAAAGCAATATTTTAAAGCAATTAAACATCACAAATTCGAAGTCTACACAGCGAAAATAGATGTCATTCATAAATCATTACTTATTCAAAGAACTAGTGGCGTTCAGTCCAGCATCCGTTTGTTCTTCCAGCCAGTAATCTTAGCACTAGCTACAAGTATTAAGTACAGGTACCTTAGGTAGGTACCTAAGGTAGATGATGGTTTAGCTAAAAAGTTGGAGTCTTTCAACATGCATTGCTGCTATAAATATTAGTGTGGGTCAGGCGGCTGCATGTACGCAGTAAAGGGAGGAGCAATGAGCCACATTACAGATGCAGTAATCTCCTTCTCAAGCCACACATTAACAATATCCTATCTGTAAGAAGCACAGACCATCTCCCCTCTACCCTAAGATTGATTGGCTCGTTTACCGAGATTTCTCCATGCCCTCAGCTTCCCACATTTGGTCTTGGGTTTTTTCTCGATTTTGCAAGACAGTCAACAACCAACCCAACGCCCGACCTTTCTCGACAACTAACCCCAGACACCAACAGCAGTAAGGACGCCGCCCAACTTGCAACAATAAATTACTTCGCCAATTAGCCCGTGTACTGATTTTCCAAATTGTAGAAAATGTCGTCCAAGGGAAAGAAGCCCGCGAAGTCCGCCATCGAGCAGGTCGTTGCCCGCGAATACACCATCCACTTGCACAAGAGAGTACGTCCATAGCAGGATGACGGTCATATCAGTTGAGGGAGAAATGCTGACGGTTTGGAAAGCTGCATGGAGTGACTTTCAAGAAGCGGGCCCCTCGCGCCATCAAGGAGATTAAGGCTTTTGCAGAGAAGGCCATGGTACGACAATCCTCCTGTCCTGCACATTTCTACCTCCACGATCCTTGCGATTCAGATCGATGACCGCGCAGTGGCCATATATCAGTGCCGGAACTGGAACTAACACGACTTCGCAGGGTACCTCCGACGTCCGTCTAGACCCCCAACTGAACAAGAAGGTCTGGGAGCAGGGTATCAAGGGTGTCCCATACAGACTACGCATCCGCATCAGCCGTAGACGAAACGACGAGGAGGATGCCAAGGAGAAGCTCTACAGCTACGTCCAGGCCGTTAACGTTAAGAACCCCAAGGGTCTGGTAACGGTTGTCGTAGAGGAATAAGGATGGTAGCCGACCAACAATCAAACGAAACGGCGCAAAGCAGAGAAAAAAAAGGGTATTTTCTTCGCTCGATACAGGAAGACGGATGCAGATGATACCGGATGGGCACGTTTATGTAGGGCATGGTTTCGGAGTTCCTCCTGGCTTCATGGAATTTAGCCTCACTAGTCGATGAATCAAGACATGTGAGCACCTACGATTTCGACGAACAGAATTGCCGTGTGATGAGTGGGAGACGACCAACACCTACCTAGGTCATACCAGACTCATGAAATAAAGTCGTCGCACTGGGATCGCTAGCGCGGTAGTGCTTGGCAGAGCATTCGCCTAACTCATATCAACGAATGCTACCTAGCATTATTTGTAGTTACGATTTGCGAATCATGATTCCCGTATCACATTCTATGCATGGCAAGAAAACCAAACAGTTTTGAAGGTCATGGTGATGTCATTGACAAGTAGACTTTATTGTCTCTCATCTCGTGCCAGAATGCTAACGACTATCCATGTCAACCGTACCAAGCCCAACCGCAAATGCAAAACTCATAGGCAACACCAAAACAAGAACCCAGGCACTGGCGGCCACCCACGCAATTGTAGGGGGTTATCAAATGGACTCCTGTTCTCCGATGCTAGTGAATAGCCTTCAAAATTCCAATAGAAACAACCGATGCTTGAGACCCAAAGGCCGGTCTATAATACAATCGTTTTGTCTGTAAGCTTAGTCGTCATCGATGTCGCGGTGACGGCCCATAACCTTGCGCTTGAACTCCTCGGCATCTTTGTCCCAGAGCTCGGCAGCCTCGCCATTCAGCGGTGATGAACTACAGAACAGTCAGTCTCTAGCGTCCCTAAAATTCATATAGAATGGGAAGCGCAATGGCGCGAGCAAACACTCACTTGTTGGGCTCCCCGAGAAGACTCTGCAGACTCAGCAGGACCGTCTGGACGTTGTAGGCAGCCGTCCACTTATCTTTCAGGATATCAAGGCAGATGCGACCCGAAAAGTCGACGTTCGGGTGGTAAATGGGTGTCTTGAACAGCACGGTCGGCGGCGCATAGGGGTAGTTCGAGGGGAAGACGAAAGATAGCTTGAAGGTAAGACCGGCGTAAGGAGTATCGTCGGGTCCCTCGATCGTCGCCGACCACGACATCAGGTTTCCGTCAGCCGAAGGAAAAGCTGAGACACCAGGAGCCGGCGAGGTCATTAGCTGCATGAGCTCTGTTTGTAGTCTGTGGGCAGGTAATTGTTAGCACAGGACAGTCCCTTCAACACACAAGCATTCGATAGAGTAAGAAGGGCCGGAACACTCGTACCTCTTGGTAACACTCTGTGCGTCAGGGCCCTTCCGAGTACCGCCGAGTTTAGCAGCCGGGACGCTACCGGGGGCCGAGTTTTGGGAATCCTCCATGGTGTAATCCATTTTTCTTTTGTAATGTCAATCGCTAGTTGAAATACGAGGGTCGATAGTGCCTCCCGCGGTATAACTAAATAAACAGAGACAAAGGCTTTGGCCAAGTTGCTGAGGCGGGATATCTGAAAGAGGAAGAAAGTCGGCCTGGAATGTGGTGGCTGTCAGTATGAACGATTGGTTTTTCTCAGATAGTTGCAAGACCAGTCCGCATACAAGTATCACCAATGATACTCTGCCTCAACCGGCCAGCAATTGTATTGGCTATCGAATTCCAACAAGAGGATGTGTTTGTGCTTCAGGCGAAGGTGAGGCTAGGGTGTACGAACCTGACACTATATTGAGTGCGAATTATTGCCTGGGGAGGTAATATATCTCGAACGTCTTAGGAATAGGAGTTGGTAATAATGTGAGGGAGTCACTGGGAAGGGAAGGGGACTTAATAAATCGTAACGCAGCTTCAGTTCGGGTTGGTTTGTATACCTACGTACTTAGTGTAAACAACAAGAGCCCTTGCGCTGCACTTTGGTTGTCGGCCCCCGCAGGGCCTTAGCAACCACCCACTATTGGTGATAAGATTAGCGCCAAATTCGCAGCTGCACTGCCCAGGCGCGTACCTGCCTAGAATAACGAATAAAGTGGCCCTCCCGAATGTAGGTAGCCAATCAATCACAGGTATTCCGCCCTGACGCAAGGTCACAACTGTACCAAACAATAGCACGGTGTGCTAAAACTAGAGAAAAAAAGAAATAAAGAGATGATTCAACCCATATAATTAGTGAATGGAGGCGGGGAAGTGGCCAGCAAAAATACTCTGATCCTCTGTAGTAAACAAAATAATTGGCATACTCTGGATTCGAACCAGAGGACTCCGCTCCTTCACAGCTCGTGCTACCGAGAGCGGCGTGTTACCCCTACACCAAGTGCCTTAATCTACAAATGAGGCTTTCAAATCCTATATCAACTCTGTACCCCACCGCTCCTTCCATTTGCACACAATGACGCACCATGGTAACCCGCCAACCATGGTAGGGAGCTACCCATGCGCCGGCTGGCACAAGTCACTGCTCAACAAAGCTTTAGAACCAACGAAATCCGATGAGATAATCTCACTTTGAAACGGAACAATAACACTGGCCTGATCCCAATCCCACCCTGGCATTTATTCCGAGCGCGCAATCAACTTTCAGACGCGTCTCAACGCGCCTCAACGCGTCAAGCATATCCAGTATGGTAAGTTCAAAGGGCATGGTGTTGTCAGAAAGCCTTTCAAATTGATCTCCTCAATTTCTCTTAGAAGACCAAAAGAGATTCCCAAGCACCTGCAAATATAAAACAAAGTGAAATGCTCTATTCGTCTCGTCGAATTGTATTCTTGTACTGAATAATATGGAACAGTCTCAATTAGATCCTCTGCCAAGCGATCTACCATTCAGAATAATTTCAAGAACAATAGGAAGAGGAGCATATGCATCGTGAGACACTTTACCATCCCCCGCAAACCCTGGTTAGCTTGCTGACCAATATTCAGTGTCAAGAAAGCCGTGCCTCTCGATGCCTCATCCCCCGTATTTGCTGTCAAGTTGATTCATAAAGGCTATGCCCTCAAAAATGGCCGCATCTCTGCTAAGCAGATTGCGATGGAGGTCTCACTCCATTCCCATATTGGTCAACACCCAAACGTGATTGAATGGTTCGCCACTGGTGAGGACCATGTTTGGCGATGGATAGCCATGGAATTTGCCGAAGGAGGTGATCTGTTCGACAAGATTGAGGCCGACGTAGGTGTTACCGAAGACATTGCGCACCTCTACTTTCTTCAACTCATCAGTGGTGTGAGCTTCATGCATTCCAAGGGCGTGGCTCATCGCGATCTCAAGCCTGAGAATGTCCTCATGTCAGAGAGCGGTAATCTGAAGATTGCGGATTTTGGCCTAGCAACCATGTTCGAGTACAAAGGTCAGAAGAAGCTGAGTGCTACAATGTGCGGCAGCCCCCCTTATATCGCGCCTGAGGTACTTGCTTGTGCCAAACGATCAAGTGAAGTAGTCAAATACGCCCCCGAACTAGTTGACATATGGTCGTGTGGTGTTATTCTATTTGTGCTACTTGTTGGTAATACACCTTGGGAAGAACCGACACCACAGAGTTGGGAGTTCCAAGAATATAAGAAGACGAACGGCCGCAGCTCCGATAGCCTTTGGGCAAGGATTCCTGCCGATGCACTCTCATTACTTAGGGGTATGATGAATATCGAGCCCAGAAAACGATTCTCTTTTGCCCAAATTCGACAGCATCCTTGGTATACCCGAAATAATAAGTTCCTTGCGGCAGATGGCCAAATTTCCGATCCAATACATCTAGCAACCAAGATGCTTGAAAATCTCCACATCGACTTCAGCCAACAGCCCCCTGCTTCCCAACGACCCTCACAGCCATCTCAAGATGCCATGGACATCGATGACAGCCATTCAACCCGAACCAAAATGGCTTTAAGTCAACCTGAAACGCCCATCAACGATGTCCTTTTTGACTGGGAAAGGCCAACCTTGCTCCCTTCCGGAATGCACGCCATCTCCTCAACACAACCGATATCGAGGGCTGATGCAACTCTCCCACCCAATGCCACACAATTGGCTACATTTTTCGATGCTCTTGCCGAGGAGCCATCGATGAGCCAGTTCTCGCAGACTCCTACTGTCCCCATGACCTTAACACAGCGTGCAAGGAAATTCAGAGATATCGTACCAGCACATTCCTTCACACGCTTCTTCTCACACATGCCCCCACAACTACTTGTACAGATGTTGAGCGACGCATTACATAACCTCAATGTACCGATGCCATCAATAAATCCCCCTGTTGGGCAGGGAGACCACGTGGCCACGCTCAGGGTTAAGACTATCGACGACCGCAAGCAAGGCTTACATGGCGAGATCCTACTTGATAAGTATTATCTTCCAGAATCCCAAGAACTTCTAGAGGTCCGCTTTGTCAAACTGAAGGGAGACCCCTTGGAGTGGAGGCGGTTCTTCAAGAAGGTTGTGCTGTTATGCAAGGATGGTGTGTTCAAGCCTGGGACTTAGAGAGCCAGGCATCATAATGTAGGAGCTGATGGTACAGAGAAACAATAATGATGTATAGGCCCTTCCGCGATGTGAAAGGCACTTCTTGTAACCCCGTGGCAATGAGTTCACGATGTCATAGATATGGAGTTGTCAGTACGTATGAGACTTGTTGTATGATTGTAAGAGTCTAACTACCTAGGTAGTCTATGCGATAACGCACAAAGACGTGCTTCACAATATACCTCCTGGTTGTATCTACACATTCATTCATTCATTTTTGGGAGCAAAGCTATGTAAATGTCGAATCGTGGTTGTCATCATCATGTCTCGAAACAGCCTAGGAATCCTCAAGATTCACAAACGTTCACAGGTTCATCGGGTAAACCCCCCGGGCCAGGCTTCTGTCTTCTGTCCGGCCCCCAGTTGTTTGAAAGCAATAAATTCCTGCTATGCAATGCCAAGTGTCCTTTGTATTCGTGTTTTGCAGCCGACAAATACTCATGAGATCGACGTAATGCAGTCTCGAATATCTCTTCAAATTTGGCCGGTGCTCTTTTCGTCAGCAGTACTCTTCTCGTTAATAGTACTCTTTTCATCAATGGTGCTCTTTTCGTCAACAGTGCTCTTTTCGTCAACAGTACTCTTTTCGTCAATGGTGCTCTTTTCGTCGGTGGTACTCTTCTCGTCGGCGGTGCTCTTCTCGTCAACGGTATCCTTCTCGTCAACAGTACTCTTTTCGTCGACGGTGCTCTTCTCGTTGGCAGTATTCTTTTCGTCGGCGGTGCTCTTCTCGTTAACGGTATCCTTTTCGTTAACAGTACTCTTTTCGTTGACGGTGCTCTTCTCGTTGGCAGTATTCTTCTCGTTAACGGTATTCTTCTCGTCAACAGTATCCTTCTCGTCAATAGTACCCTTCTCGTTAACAGTACCCTTCTGGTTAACAGTATCCTTCTCGTCAGCGTTCTCTTTGCCCTTCTTGCTTGTTCCAGGCCAGTGAAAGCTGCTGCACTTGTCGCTCAAGCTTCGCCAGGCAGAGTTGCACTTCGCCCTGGCCTTGACGTCGAATCTGCCCGCATAGCGTGCCGTCAACTCCTGGACAATATCGCCCGTCTTCTTGATCTTCTCACAGTCGATCCCATCCGGCATGTGGAATTTCATTCTATTCCGAACATACTGCGAAATGTTGGACGAATCGATCTGTCTGGGATCTCTGATGTTGTCTCTGGGAAGGACTTCATATATTACCAGGGGGGGGAGGTCCGGGGCTTCTATTCCTTGCCGTCGCATGGCATTTCGATAGGACTCCATTTCTGACAGTTGAAGCTCCGTCAACTCATCGTAGCCACTTATATCGCCGCTCTCACGATCGACCATCACGTATCTCAGCAGCCCCGAGAGCCCCACGCCCCACGACCGCATCGTGCTATCAATGCAGTCCAGCAGCAACAGGAAGCATTTTCCGTGGCCCTCTATGCCTCTGGTGATGGGTACCTCGGCGAGACATTTCTGGCAGCGACACATGAACAGGTTCATGTAGGCGTGCGCCATCTCGTGGATCAGCGTCTCGAGGAAGAACTGCACGGTTACGGTTGTGGAGTGGTCCTTCTTGTAGAAACTTGCGCCCGCGATGTAGATCTCCGAGGCCGGCCCGAAGACCGGGAAGTATCTCGCGTCGGCAAATCCCACCAACCCGTTATTGACCCATACCTTCTCATCATCCGTCAGGAGGTCGCCGCCGTCGGATAAGTGCTTGGTATTGCACTGACACATCGTGACGGAGACGCGGGGGAGGAGTCGATTCTTGGTCATGGCGCCAAAGAAGAAGAATTGGTCGAACAGGCGCATGAATTTCTTGAGGTTGCGCGTGTCGAAGGACTCCCCGTCATCTTTGACTTCATCGAGTAGTGCGATGATCTTGGCTCGCGCTGCGAGTTGTTTCGGAGTTAGGTTGCGGTCGTCCTTCGCTAGGATGATGGCCAAAACGGTGTTCTCGAGCAGACATTCGGACTTGTATGCCCAGAGTTTGAGTTTGAAGTCTAGTTTGGTTCCAACCCCGGTGTATCCCGGCCACTCTGGATGTGCTCCTTCGGGCACGGGCTTTGGCCGGGCATTTATCCAGCGGACAGCCTGGTGGCAGTAATCGTGGCATAAGTCCATCCCAATACCAACAAAGTTGAGATATTCCGGTAGTCTAGCCTTGTTGGTAGCAATATTAGGTGGTTGGGATAAGTTTCCGCCCGCCCCTTGGCTCACGTTGCTATTATTCATGTTCGTATTCCCCTCCTTGCTTGCGTTCTTGCTCGCGTCCTTTTTTACCCGCACCTTTTGCGGCACCTTCTCCCTTACGAGAGCGAGAGACATATCGTCCATAGCCGCAGAGTTTCAAACGGCTTAAAGACGATGTCTTGGATTTAGAACGACTGCAGTATGATATGGTAGATGTGTGTTTAAAGTTCAAGGATGTACACTGCAGTCGGACGCGTGGCTGATGGACGCGTAAAGTTGGTAGACGTGTAGGTCTGGAGACGCGTGAAACTGGCAGTAACGAGGTATATCGCACCTGGTGAAGTTGAATGGCACAGAATAAACAAGGAGATCCTCGAAAGGGGATAGGAAGATTCGGAAGAAGATACGAGACTTGAATCTGTGGACAATATCACCTCGAGTCTGTGGTGGAGGACTTCGGAAGGATAAGCTTGTATGGTTCACTTGCAAAGTTAGTTGAAAATTTGATTGTGAAGAAAATGTACCACTGCTTCTTCCAAGTTACCCCCCTTGGCTTTGTATCCGTGTAGTATCCAATGGTTAATGCATGTGATACAACCAAAATCCGATTAAACATGGAATAATCTCTATATCCGAAGTCTCTCACGCGCTTTCCTGCTTCTGGACAAATCACAATGTGATGTACTAGCACAAGGTAGTCTTGTTAAGCTATGAAACTAGTTAGACTCATATCTCCTCAATATAGCTATAAGTTTCCATATATAAAGCAGCTGGTTATAAGAAGCTTATGGAATCTTCTCTAAATACCCCTTGGTTATTTTGTGCAATATATTTCACTGGAACAAAGCAGATTATTCGAGGGGAGACAATAGCGTTAAGGTCCTCACACTCGTTTTTTAGACTGAACTAGATACATCTTAATGGTTTCAGTTTGTTGCTAGCACATGCCGAAGATTTGACTTAGAGCTCATTTAATATAAATACTATTTTCTGCCCCAAGTGAATAGTAGTAGTGCCATTGCAACAAGCACATCTGATCTTCATTCTGAGCCAATATTAAACCTATTCTGAAACTCACTTCACATTTATTATTTCCACAATATCTGGAAAATTCGGTGAAAATATGGAGGCACTCCATTTAAAGCCATTTGCATATAAGCGAAGCAACGATGGCCACCCGTCTCTACAACCCCATGCATACATGGCACGGGAACTAATAAACTGTACTGTTGGAAGCTTCCGTGATATCAGCGATAACGACCTCACATCCCAACAACGACTTGCCAAAAGGCGCTTTATTAGGCTTTTTGAGCACCAGTTGAGAAGAGACACTGCGGATCTTCACAAGACAAACCTGTATGCCACACTGGAGGAACTGATGAGGCATCTAGACGAGTTCTTCTTCTTTGGATCTGTCAGGCCGCTAGTCCGGAAATTCCAACTGACACATTTCCCACCCGGATGTCCCATGCTTGGAAATTGCGTTGAAGTGGACCATGAAGATGGGCCACCTCGTTTTGATATTTCCTTGAACAACCAGATTCAAGGGCAACTAGCTGGCCTGTCTGAACTTGTGAACACCTTGCTGCACGAAATGACGCATGTATTTCTGAACACCTTCGTCTGTCGCTGTTCTAGATGCCTCAGAAACGATTTCAACGCTGTCGGGGTAACCACCAGTGGCCACGGGCCCACGTTTCGCGGGCTGAACTACGCTGCGATGGTATGCTTGGGAGGCTGGAATGAGGATTTGGATCGTGTCGCCAAAGCGCGTAGCAATAACACATATATCGACCAGGTTTCTCTAGATTTAGAGACGAGGAGCAGGGAAATTACTATGCAGAATTGTGCTTTTGACCCAACACGCGTGTTATCCTTTGTCCAGCATCCCAGCCATAATCACCTTATCTGGACCCATTAGCGTGCAGTCGTTATTGATACGGAGAGACTTCAAAAGCATGTCGAGAATTTTGCTGCGTCAACTGGTACTCCCATGCGGCCCAACTTAGCTGGTGCCGCAAGGAGACCAAGGAACAGAATGCCTGCAGCAGTAGCGTCAATGGCCATGGTGGGATATGGAATAGAATCCCTAGACAACATGATGGATATAGACGTTGAAGTCTCCACGATGTCCTTGGATAAAGGATTTACACTAGACTGGTCAGAGGGGGAACCAATGGAGATGTAACATTGCAACAACTAGCATTTATGAGTTTTGTCTCTTGCGACAGTTTTACCTTGTACGGAGAATACTTTTGAAGATGGGTACAAGAATCACCTCTTTATGTACCTTAGGTAGTATGCACATCTTTTTACACTACTGAGATAGATTTCCTGTAGCATTCGTTTCCATTAACATTGTTGTTAACTTAAGCTTTCTCCATGCGCAAGAACCCAAACCTAATATATCCAAGCCCTCTAGCCACAAGAGTAGGGAGGTGCTTCTTTTAATATCATACAATGCTTACTGTGAGGGTTGGGAAGCATTGGTGACTGATATGTTCAAATACATAGCTAGTCTCATCGCCTGTTCTTATCTGGATCAAGCTGCAGGTCCTTGCCCGCCTGTCTTGCGGATAGACCTTATATAACAATCGAAGTACATCCGAGCCATTGAAGACAGTAATACGCGACTGCATGAAGACGTGACTGCGTGAAGACGTGACACTTATTTCAAAATCGCCTGCCAGCCCTTGCGACCAACATACCCAGTCACTCCCTCATCCCTCATTACTTCGCTGCCCAACCGTCCCGTAACCACACTGCGCTCGTATTCGACGCCGCGAACATAGAAAGGATAAGCCAGCCGCGGTACGGCAGTGTCATCTCCATCCATGTCCTTCTCTTTCCCTTTCCCATCATCTTCTGCTTCCTGAAGACTCTCTGCTGATGTGACAGATTGAACACCTGTACTTTCCCAAACCGTCTTCCCTCTGCCCCGTCGCTTCGCGAACCCACTCGCCTCGCGGTCCAGCGATAGGTACCACCGCCGCTGGTACACGCTCCCAATAGAGTTCAGTGCGCCGGGGTACGCGTTGGTCCTGCGGACTTCGTCGTCCTCGAACTCGCGCAGTTCGCGCTCGGTAGCCGAGATATCATTCTCGCCCTCCTTGGCCTGCTCGGCGGGGGCATGCACGACTTCTGCGTCGTCTTCGTCATCGCCATCGCCACTGGATGCCATATCTTGCTGTTGCTTTCCGGCGCCTCTTCGGGTGGGAGTAGAAGATTTCTCTGGTTCTGAGTCGGAACTTGTGGCGGGCTGGGGTGCATTCTTGCCCTTGGCGGCAGATCTGGTTACCCTGCTTGAGAGTGTGGTCGGCGCTTCACGTCGCCTTCGCGTCTTCGGGATGCGTGTGCTGCGTGCTCGGCCCACGACATCCTCCTCGCGCGTTAGGCGTAGATTTAACACATATGGTGCTGGTAAGCGGGTCCCGTGAAGCTGTAATCGGATCTTTCGCGCTGCAAACGCCTGATGCAGCTTTTGCTGTTCTGTCAACTGTGACAAGCCGCTCTCTTCATCAGATGAGGATTGCGAGTCATCCCGTGAATACTTGCTCTCTATTGGTAGGATGGTGTAGGTTCCTGTGTCCCAAATGAGAAGGGAACCGGTTGCATGAGAGGCTGTTTCAATAAGATGATTCTGGTATTCATTAGTATATCTGCAGCTAATGTGACACATGCATTATAGCCTATAGATAAAGAAACTACTACTTGCCCATAAACAGTGTATGCGTGTCTCGGTCGCATTACGATTTAGTCGAAAACTATTCGGATCCCCGGGGAGTCCGTACATGATGGCCCATGATGCACTGCTCGTCTCATTGATTTGCAGTCGTAGATCGTAGTGCGTGCCTGCAATCGGGTGGTCGTGTTGATGGATAATGAAGTGCGCTCCTCGAGAACTTCCGACATTGGCCTCGTATAGCTTCCGATAGCCTTCGACAGAGAGATGAGGAGTCCCTGAAGGGAATGGTGATAGGGTAGTCTTAGCCAGAAGTGCACTGAAGTAGCTGAGGTGATCATCTATGCTAGCTTTCCCGGCTTCAACGTCGGAGGTGGTCGGCTGCTCCTCATCTGGATGATGCGAGGGCTCTCTGTCCTCGTCGGAGCTGCTTGAGCCGGCGGCATCATGCGGCAGGCCAGTGATATCAATGCTCCATTCAAGATTCTTCTTTTTGATGAAGGGATTCTGTACCAATTCTGGGCTGCGTGATCTTTTGGTCGGCATGGTGAATCATTAACAGTGACTTGGTTTGGGGGGATGGAGGTACAGGAGGAAGGTAGATACTTCTAAGGTTGTGTTGATTAGACGGGATATAGGTACACCGAAGCATCACCGGTACATAGGATCTCAGGGGCAACAGAGGCCATTGGATGTCGCCCCTACGCGCTAAGAACCCAAATGCAGAGAAAACAATCTGTTTATTTGTCAAGTGAAATATTCCTTAGGAGAGAAATAATATAGATAGATGTCTGTACCTACTGCTGGAATTGAGGTTAAGACTAGGTATATAGTAAAGGACAGACAGGCTCCTCGAAAAAAAGTTGCAAGCTGTGTTAATTGGGATAAACTGTCATTACGACAGCATGAGCAATATACATTAGGCATTTAACTAACATCATGATATTCCTAGGAATTATGAAAAAGAATAGGTAAAATACAATACAACTAGTTCCTATCTAGGACAAAATAATGATGATGAGAGTGGGACTCGAACCCACGCGGATTGCTCCACTGCGAATTTCTAATGACACAACATAACACTGTATCAAGAGTCCAGAGTTTTCCTGAACGCAGCGCCATAACCACTCGGCCATCTCACCAGAGCTTTACCGGAACGAACCAATAATGTCAAGATTTGCCAAATTCGTATACCATATTCATACACTCACTGAGCAGAGACGTATCCCATTGAAGTATGATGTTAATGGTCAGAAGTCTTACATCCTCTGAAGCAGTTATACACAACCTTGGTATTGCATCTGGGACGATGCGACGGCTAGGATCGTCTTTCTTTGGGAAGCGAAGGATTATTGGAAGCCGGGGTAGAAGATATCCCGAGGATCAATGATGGTCACCTTGTTGAGATAACTCACTTGCTGTTCGGCATGTAAACACTGGTCCTATAAAGGCTTTATAGCTTGAACAAGTGTTTGTCGGCGTTTCCTTTCCGAAGATATTTCTTCATTAATTATAAAAGAAAACACATCCAGTATCCTGAGAAACGCGGTTGAGATACTCGAAAATGTGTCCTGCTGCACACTGCTTTACGACAAGCTTTTCAAACGATGAGGCGTTCAGCTCGAAGGCTAAAGGACTAGGCCTCATGTCTCGCTAAGCTTGCCAGATACTACTTACACGAGTAAGATAAATAGATCTTGATGATTCTTGAAAGACAAATCAGCATAACATCCTTAGTCTTCTAGCGGGAATACTCTGATCTTCTAGCAGAAAATAATATGCTCCAACAAATGAATCCTACTGTAAGAGCGGTGTCAACTCCCCACTCTCTTAATAAACTGTTGCGTACCGGTCTACTATCTTTTCATATAGTAGTATAGTTTGACCAATGTAAGGGCTAGTGGCTCATCATACTCACTTTGTAGCACGAGATAAAAGGCAAGATATATATATGTATGCCATTAATACTAACGAAGAAAACCTTATTTGTAGGCGTCTGATATGCAGAGTGCAGCAAAGGCCAAGAAGAAAAAACTAAAAAAACTGATGCAGTTCTGCTATGCTGGTATTTTGTCGTTATGAAATCAGTAAGACCATCCGTTCATCCATTAAACGCCATGGTATGAGCTACACCTGAGCCCTTGTGCCTATTCAACATGCCCTCTCGGACATGATGTGCGACGATCGCATACCGTCGAAGCTCTCATGATATCTTTCCTGGATGCTTCATCTTTCCAGGAGACTATTTCCATCGGTTCCCGTAGCCGTGTTACTTATACTGCATGGGTGGTTGAGCTTGAGGTGGCGGGCCACCCCAGCCTTGATGCGGGCCTTGATTTTGCAATGGTATATTATTTCCTCCGCCTCTCATATTCATGACATCGGGTCTGTTCTCGAGCGGCTGGGCGAAATTACACACATGGCACACGACATCGTGATAGCCTTTGAAGGAGAGGGGTAGTACGGGCTGTGAGGTCAACGAGTTAGCACATGCACCATCTAGGTAGGTAGTTTCAAAGTTGAGAACATATGTAGTGCGTCGTTATGTCTACAAGTAAGATAAGAGAGGTGACTAGACGGGGAAAAGAACCTGGAAAGGAGAAATGGAAAGAGGGGGAACACTGTGAACACTCACGATGAAACAAAAGGTAAACCACGGGTTGCTCTTGATGACATGGGCGGCGTAGTTACCACAGTTGTGGCACTGGCAGGTGAGGCCCTCGTATCCCTCGACCTCCTTGCGGAAGGTGTGCTCGCCGCAGGTGAAGATCAGACACATTGTTCAGTGAGTGCGGCTGAGGCGACGCTCGGTGTGCGATGGTTGTCTGATGACGGCAAAGAGGGCGATACCGTAGAAGCCGGGTGTCGGAATCCAGTGATTTCGAGCAGTTTTGGCGTCACAAGGAGTCGTGGATGTTGGAAATGAAGATGGAATGTGATAGGTGACGTCTGGGCTTGTAATGTATAATTTAAGGTATGTGTGAGATGGTTGATTCAGCGGTCGCAAATGGGTTCCATTCTCATCACTGACAGAGCGCCATGCGAAAGCAGATGCTGCGTCACAGTGAGACTGCGCCACGCTGTACCTAGGTAGGTCTAGATGGAGTACCTAATCTAATTGTAGCTACCTAGCTGCGCTTTAGGTAGTGCCTAGGTACCCCACAAGAGCTTTTAGATAACCTTACTTTAGTACGCTCTGGAGTAGGTAGTAGGTAGCTCAATCCGATAAGAAAAATATCCTGGGTAGCAGGTTGTGACTCTAATCCGGTATTAGAGTTTCAAGTTGCAACCCCTCCAACACATCGACAACGACGAACACTACCTCATTCAATCCAAGCTCACATCGCAGGCGCCCACGGGCCTCGCGCCCGTCATTCCTACAAGTATGCTCTACGACCTCAACATTGCGTGGTCACCCCACACAAGTCCCGCGGAACTCGAGCGCACGCTCCGCTTCAGCGCATCCCTAGGCTACGATGTCGTAGCAGTCAACCACACGATCGGGGCGCCAATCCCAGCGAATATCACGAATTCGCTTCCAAAATTCGACCTACCCCCCTCCTCCTCTTCTTCCTCCCAACATAAGATCCCCACCATTCTTCGCCGCGCCACCGTTCTCCTAAACGAACCATCGCAACATCACCGCCTGCCACAGCTCGCCGCTGCATACGATATCCTCGCTGTGCGTCCGCAGACTGAGGAAAGCTTCTCAGCGGCCTGTCAGAGCCTCAATGACATATCCATAATATCGCTGGACATGACCGTGCGGCAGCCCTTCAGCTTCCGTCCAAAACCCTGCATGTTCGCCGTGAATCGCGGGGTTCGCTTCGAGGTGTGCTACTCGCAGGTTCTGCAAGGGCCAGCTCCCGCGCATGTCCTCGGAGCTAAAGGGAGTAGCGGCTTTATCGGCAATGCAGGGGCGGGCGTCGACGCCCGCGGTCGTGCAGCCTTCATTGGCAATGTGGCGTCGTTGATCCGCGCGACTCGCGGTCGCGGGATCGTGATCAGTAGCGAGGCGCGGTCCGTGCTGGGCTTACGTGGACCCGCTGACGTTATCAACATGCTTCACGTGTGGGGTCTGCCGACGGATCGCGCAACGGAGGGACTGGGTGTGCTGCCGCGAGGCGTCGTCGTCAACGAGGGCCTCAAGCGCAGCGGCTTCCGGGGCGTCGTTGATATCGTCGGCGTTGCGGACCGTGTCCAAGCTGATGTCGAGATGGGTGAGGGCGGTGATGATAATCCCGAAATAGCTCCCGGAAACGCACAGGGCAACAAGGGGGGGAAGAATAAGAATCAAGAAATGAGCGGCCCCGGGGGGAAGAAAAGGAAGAACGGCGATGACCCTGAAACCATTGCTACCGGAGGCGATGGCGAAGAACAGCCAATGAGTAAACGTCAAGCAAAAAAATTAAGAGCCGCCCTTCGAAAGAAGCAAGAAGAGGATGGAGCAGCGGGTATATAATGCATTTCACATTTCGCATAAAGAGAAGGATCTGGCGTTTTGGGCTTGAAAGAGAAAACTTACTTGGACTTATGATACCCCTTCAATGTATTTACTACTTCAAGATAACTGCAAATGGTTGCACCCACTTTATCGGTGACGATATGAAATGAGTTATGATAAGAGAACGGAAATAATCTTGACTTTTCGTTCTGAGCAAAGGTACAGAGACACGCAGGAAATGCGCGGTTAGACGTGGAAACATACACAAAATCATCATAATTAACCCCCATTTCCCAAGTATGTCTCGGTTTCTAATATATAGGTAGAGTCAGATTCTGTCTGTTGCATTATATAACCAAGAAAAGAAGGATCCTCCACCAGGGGGTTTTTCTCAAGATATACTCTAGAAGGGTTTACATATAACTATAACTATATATCAAAACAAAATACCGAACTTAGCAGGTTTAAAAAAAGGGTCTTGTAAGGGTGGTGTTTTTTATTTCTCTCTCTCTCTCTCTCTCTCTCTTCCGCGGCTTCAACTCCTCTCCTCTCCTGTCTTCTCTTGCATCACCGTTAGTAACCCCTTCCCCCCTCTCCGCGAATCTTCATTAAAGGTGGGGGCAATCTTTCAATCTCTCATTCACCCAACTGGACCGAGCATAATTATGGAGCTCAGGCTGACGCCGCTGAAGTTGATCGGTGGGCCCTCGTTCGCGCCCGCGAAGGTCGTCGCTGTGAGCGCGTCTGGGAGTGCTGGGGCTAGGTTGACGTCCGAGGCCACGGCTGCGGGCGTTGATTCTGCCGGCAGCGCGATCGAGGACTGACCTACTGCTACCGCCGTTGTCGTCGTGGCTATGGACGGGGTCGACCCGATGGGCAGTGCGATCGATGACGCACCTGCGACTGAGGAGGTGGTTGTGTCTGCTGCTGCTGCTGTCGTTGAAGTCGTAGTCTCTGCAGATGATGCTGCCACTGCTGAGGACGATGAAGTAGTTTCTGCAGCAGCGGATGTTGCTGGCGTGCTGGAATCTACAGCTGCTGCCGATGAGCTCGATGCTAGGCTTGTTGCTAATGTGCTGGAGTCTGCAGTGGCTACTGATGAACTCGATGCTAAGCTTGTTGCTGGCGTGCTGGAGTCTGCTGTGGCTACTGATGAGCTCGATGCTAAATCTGTTTCTGGCGCGCTGGAGTCTGTAGCTGCTGCCGATGAACTCGATGTTAAGTCTGCTGCTGCGCTTGATGTACTTGAGATTATGACTGTTGCTAGAGATGTCGATTGCGAACTTAATACGGGCACGGAAGATGCCGGCGCCGCTGCGTAGTTTCAATGTTAGTCGACCGCTTCTAGAGAGCGTGATAAAAAAAAGATATCTTACGTATGGAACTAATCGAACTAGTAGCTGCGGGAACTGAAACCAGCGAAGAGGTCGTTATGGCAGCAGATGTCCCGATGACTGCGATCGACGAAGTGGCGGCTGCTGCTGAAGAGGTTGCCAAAGAAGCTTGACCAGACGCGACGACCTGGGCCACGGAGGACGCGATAGACGAGGCTTCGGCGGGCGGGATCGGGATTCCAAAAGCTGTTCCGCATGCAATCAGTTGCATCATCGTGGTGGTCACCACCTGCGTGACTGTGGCCTGCCTGTCGACCGAGTCAGCCCCCAATATCACTCTGCGGCCTGCGATCTGTGACCTACC